TTGGTGTTTGTTCATCAATGTTCTGTGTCCAGGGACATTGTCCATGCTTCCTCCATTCTCCTCTCACTTAAGCTCCAGCTCACGGGTGTCTGGGGAATACATGTGAAATGAGGGACTGGTGAACCCCACTTTCTGGTCCACACTTGACTAGACAGTGAAGGTGAGTCCTGGGAAGGGGACAGGAAGACCCAGGAAGGACAGAAGTGAGGAGAGCGGGGGAGCAGAGGGTCATGGTGGGTGACTGAGGTGGAGGAGTAGAGGGCAATATGGTCAGGGACCCACATTCCAGAAGAAGATAGGCTGTGGCATCATCACCCCATGGCAGAGTGGGAACAGCAAGTGAGCAGGCGGAACAGCTCCTTTCCCTCCTTGCTGTCCTCATGGAGGCTGAAGGTGATGACACCACAAAGATAAGGGGCTGGTCGGAGCACAGTGAGCAGAGTGTGAGAACTGGAGTATCTTGCCACATATATAGTCACAGCCGGCTTAGCATCCTAGGATGCTCTTTACTCATCAAGTGACAAGAAAGTTCCAACCACTCCACAGCAACCCTTCCACAAGGTTTGCTTCCTGCTTCCTATGGCCCAGGGTTCAGGTCAGGGATTCATCACAGTGTGGCCCACAGCCACCTGCCTACATGCCGCTGCCACCAGACCAGACCAGTCTTTACTTGGGAATATAAAACAAAGGCTGTTTTAATAGATTTGGGAGCAAGTAGTATTTCTAAAAACCTCAGCAACCACAACCAGCCATTAAACTGCAGGGTGGAGTGAGGGTTTGTGAGCATTTGTTCATCATCTCTGAAGGGCTGAAATCAAAGCCACAAAGAGTGGCAGGCACCAGTGGTGCTGGGTGGTGGCAGCAGGTGCAGCCACTTCAGAACACCTCAGGAGAGTTGGCACTCAACAGAGAGGAGCCTTGGTGCACAACCTATAGAAACTTGCATGGCCTGTATCATCCCACCAAGAATGCTCAGAGTGTCAGGGGACCAGAAACCCCATACAAGAAGTCAGAAATGTCAGCCCAGGGTGGACAGCCCAGTCCTACACAGACTACTCTAGGAACACATTGTTGGCATGGCCTTGCAAGGGAACTAACTGTAGGCAGCTGTGAAAGCAGTGCAGACAGATCTTATAATGTGGTGGGAAGAACATAGTGGTAAGTTTGAACACATGAGCATAGCCATGGAAATGACTCTATGGTAGGAAACAATGAGGAAAGATGAACAACTGAAAAGAGGCATAAGCAAGGGCTGTGAATCCTGGTTGGGGTGTGATTTAAAGAAACACATGTCAGTAGACACTTACTGACCTGCCCACTTAAGATGTATGCACTTGCTGTGTATAAATTCCTCTTCAGCAGAATAAACTTCACTGTTGATAGTTACAGAATTCTAGTTAGCAGATTTTGCTTTTTACAATGGAGTGGGATAGTGCTTCTGAAACTAACTTTTAAAATGCATTTGGGGTCCAGCAATGAGAGTGCATAGATACATTAAGGATAATAAGAGCTAGGCTTCTCCCTGTTGGGCAAGGGAGTTCCAAACGTTGAAAAGAGGGTAGCTGGATTGTGCTCTGCTGCACAGAAGTGTGCATATGAGCAAATGGGCTCACAAAAATGGGTGTATGTGGATGGATGGATGGATGGATGGATGGATGGATGGATGGTAGGTGGGTGGGTGGACACATGAGTGGTTAAGTGGGTGAATAGGTTGATACATGAATAGATGAGTGGGTGGATGGATGGATGGATGGATGAGTGGGTGTGTGGGTGGATGGATAAATATGTCACATGCACTATATACACACGGGTGAGCAGTACTTTATGAACTTGTGTCTTACATCCTTTTCCCTCACCGATAGATGGAGTATCATTTTGTGTCAATGAGGGAATGGAAATGACAGTGGAACATCAGGCTCAACTGGCTTCAGATATGGTTTCTAAATACTTTCCTTGGAGGGAAAGCTGAATTCGGGCTGGCTGAGGGAAGAACAAACTGAACCTGGGATGGTGCCATGGCTGGATATGAGGGGCTCAAGGAATGATGAGGACAACTGGAAGAGACAAAAGACAGCTCCATGTGCTCCACTCAAGACTGGAGCCATTTGTGCATCAAGAGAAACCAGCAATGACAGTGAATTAAGACTCACAAATGATAGCTCAAAATCACAATAAATCAGATTTAATAACAGTAAAAATAAAATCAAAAGCTATGAGTCTTTCTTTTAAGGAAAAAAGAAAGATAAAGAAAGCAGAAGGGGATGGATGAAGAGAGAGGAGAAAGCTTTTTTGTACAGAGAAACACCCATTTCAAGTGCCTCTGGGTCTGATGCCCTGAAAGGACGCAGGGCAATGCAAAAGGCTGCTACTATAGGATCCAGCTGGAACAATCATGAAGCATCACCAATGAGGGGCCTGGGCAATAATACCAGTCTATGACCCAGAGTGACAGAAGATAAGGCCAGGCTACCAAGACTTCAGGCAGACGTGAGCAAAGCAACGTGTGCAGTGAGTGTATCATGTGACTGGGGTAGAGCTAGGCCTGGGAGATAAGCTCTCAGAACAGGGCACCTCTGACACCTAGAAAGCTAGGACTTGGGTGTTGGGTGGATAACACTGGGTCAACACTGCAGCTCTCGGTTTCGATAAATGCACTGCGGTTATGGGAGAGAATGCCCTCATTCTTAGGAATGACACACGGAAGAAATGGGCAAAGGGACACAATGCCTTCGCCCACAGCCTCCCACAGCAGTTGTGACACACTGCATGCAAATATTTATGCATATGGACAGACAGATATATGGATGGTAGACAGATGGTGGATGGGATGGATGGATGAAAAGATGGACAGATGGATTAAAAAGACATACAGAAAATTGGATGGGCAGATGGATAGACAAATGGATGGATGGATGAATGGATGGATGGATGGATGGATGGATGGATGGATGGATGGATGGATGGAAAATGGGTGTGTGGGTGGACAATAGATGGATAGATAGATAACTGGGTAGACAAATGGATACATGGACAGATGGATGGATGAACAGATGGATAAATGAATATGCAGGTAGATAGATGAATGGGTTAGTAGATGGATTGTTGGATGGATAAGAAGAAAATAGATGTAGAGAAAATAAATGTTATCAGTATACCTGGGGAGGTACAGACATTCTCTGAATTGTTTCTACAACTGCCTTCTAAGTTAGAAACAGTGTCGAAACAAATTACAACAGAGGCCCTAAGCCTGGAATATTTCCTGAGTGGCTCTGTGGCCCACACTTGTACTTACCTGGTGAGGTGATTTGAACTGGTATCCTTGGCAGTTTCTGGACAGTGCTGCCTACCAGAGAGCCTGTAGCACTGAGGTTTTCAGCCATCCCTCACCCATGAGCCTGTGAAGGGTCAGTGTTCTGGGGAGAATCCACAGGTGGGCTGGAGACTGACATTCCCAGATAGGGCCCAGAGGTTCCATGTTCTATCCATCTCTTGCTGTTGGCACCTTCCCCTGGTGGTTCCTGAGTTGGGTCCTGAGGGAATAACTGGTCAACACTAGCACAGAGCCTGACTACATTCTGTGAGCCTTCCTAACAGTCCCTGAGCATGAAGAGGGCCATAGGAACTGTGATGCACAGATAGATGCAGGTGGAGAGGACTAAGCCAGTATGCAGTCTGAACTGACTGTAGAGTCTGGATGGACTATGGGGAGTTGGTGTCAAAACTGAGTCAAATGGCAGGCCATACATTTGGCAAACAGAGTTGATTGTAGGGTTGAAAAAAATGCCTGAGCCCCAAAACCAAAGTGAGTGGGTGTTCCATAAACAGCAACCAGGTAAGGTGCTGGAAGGTGAGTCAGCTGGACCAGCCCAGTCAGATCTAGATAAGGGCACTTTGTCTGCAGCCCCACCTCTGTGTACAGCTCACCCAGCTGGCTCTGGTGGCCCTGCACCTAAGAGAACCCAGCCTCACCACTTCACCAAGCCTGTTGTTCCCTCCCCTGGCCCAAAGGAAGCAGAGTCTTTGTCAGTCATTTCAAGGGCTCAGCAAACCTCATTCCATATTCTTTCTGCAGCCCAGCCTCACAGAAGGAGGGCAACAGGAGGCACCATCTGCATTCTTTGCAAAGCTGTTGCAAAGGCAGCTGTGATAACTGCCCCACATAACTGGGAAGTGAATTCCTCTGAGTACCCAAAGCCCCAGGATCTGAGCCACAGATATCCATGTGTGGGACTCACACTACTAAGGCATGTCGGGCTTCCACAGAGCCCTCAAGGTCCCTGATCTGCCCACTCCTGTGGGAGTGGTGAGCTGCATGTCAATCATAACAGGTGAGCCTGGCTCCGGAATCCTCCATAGAATCAACAGGATGGGGCTCTGGCCACCTGTGTGTTTGCCTGGCGCCAATGCTCTTGCCTAATGCCTATTTCCAAAATTACAGAAGATAACAAATGACCTAACAGTGAAACAAAACCCTTTTGTATATGTGAGCCTCAGCAAACATCATGCGCTCATGCGCATCTGCTAGGGACCAGCCCACGCTCAGCCTCCCATAGAAGTCTCCAGAATGAAAGGCTGTGCATGCCAGCAGCCTTCACACAGGCATTGTGGGGTCAACAGTCCACTCAGCCCCTGCACAGTGGGCCCTGGGAAGAGAGCCTGGGGCAGGCACATGGCCATGAGGCCCAGTCAGAAATAAGTCCCTCTAGAAATTCACTCTTGAATTCCAGCACTGTTTCTGTTCCAGAGAACAGAAACTTCATTTCCAAAGAAGCTAGACTTTGAAAATAGCGATTATCCAGGGGAGAGGTACATGTTCCCTGAAGATGGAAAGGCCAAGAGGCAGAAGCCAAAGAGGATGGTGCCAGCACCCAGGCAGGTGGGGTGCTGACTCAGGCAGGGGAGGAGCAGGAGGCGGGCCCCTTGCTGAGCAGGCCAAGCAGAAGAGCTAGTTTAATAGGGACAGCCAAGCAGAGGTAGCAGCCAGTGGAACCAAGGGCATTATGCTGCGTACTCTGATTCTCTTGTCTGGTGTCCTGGGGGCCGCCAAGGCCAGTCCCATCTCGGGCCCCCAGGAGTGTGCCAGGGGCTCTGAGGTATGGTGTCAGGACCTGCAGGCAGCTGCAAGGTGTCAGGCTGTAAGGTACTGCCAGAGTGCTGTGTGGAGCAAGCCGATAGTCAGGTCCTTGCCCTGCAGTGTGTGCCAGGATGTGGCAGCCGCTGCTGCTAACGGGATGAACCCAGATGCTACAGAGGCTGACATTTTGGCATCAGTGATGAAGACCTGTGAGTGGCTTCCACACCCGGAATCTTCAGCTAAGTGCAAGTGGATGGTGGACAACCACAGCCCAGCTGTTCTGGGCATGCTCAGTGGAACTCCAGGCACTGGCCTGGCTCCGGTATGCACTGCGCTCACCCTCTGTGAGCCACTACAGAGGCACCTAGCCACTGCCACCTCAGAGAGACCACTGACTCAGGAGGACGCAACTGAGATGACATCTCCATTCTTGTCCAACGGGGCCCTCAGCTTCCACCCATCACAGATGCCTGGGGGTGCCGTATGCCAAGATTGTATCCAGCTGATATCCCGACTCCAGGGTGCTCTAGAGTCTAACTTAACCTTGGCAGAGGTAACTGTCCAGGATCAGTGTGAATCCCTGGGGCCTGGCCTGGCTGCCCTCTGCAAGAACTACATCCGCCAGCAATTTGTCCCCACTAAGCAGACACTGCAGATTCTCTCCCCACAGGAGGTCTGTAGGAAGGGGGGCTTCTGTGAGGAGTGGAGAGAGCCTGCCCACCGGCTGGCTCAAGTGGCCGCTGTGGATGGAGTCCCCTCTCTGGAGCTGGAGCTACCGAAGAAGAATGAGATGCAAATGGAGTTGGGCCTGACCTGTGATGTCTGCTTGAATGTGATCCAGGAGGTGGACAAATGGCTCATGACCAACAGCACAGAAGCCCTCATCACCCATGCCCTAGAGAGAGTGTGTTCCATAATGCCAGAATCTCTAGTCCAGCAGTGCATCACCCTGGTGGAGACCTACAGCCCCAGCCTGGTACAGCTTGTGAGCAGAGTCACCCCAGAGAAAGTGTGTGAGACCATCAGGCTGTGTAACAGCAAGAGGCAGGCCAGGTCCATCCCCAAGGCTGAGGCAACCACACCGTCCCTGCTGGTGGATGAAGAAAACTATGGCAGCTTCTGCCAGGGGTGCAAAAGGATACTGGGCGTATCTTCCCAGAATCTGGACCGCAAGAGCACCAAGCGGGACATCCTGAATGCCTTCAAAGGTGGCTGCCGAATCCTGCCACTGCCCTACGTGCTACAGTGCCACCGGTTCGTAGCGGAGTATGAACCTGTGCTTCTAGAGAGCCTCAGGTTCATGATGGACCCCAATGACCTGTGCAAGAAGATGGGGGCCTGCCACAGCCCCAAAGTCCCACTTCTAGGCACAGATCAGTGTGTCATAGGCCCCAGCTTTTGGTGCAAGAGCCCAGAGGCCGCTGAGATGTGTGATGCCCTGGAGCACTGCCAGCGCCTTGTGTGGAAAAAACCAGCTTCCGAAGTCAAAGATCAGCCATGACCGTGGCCACCAGAACTCAAAGCCTGCCAAGGTTGATCCCACCTGTAGGCTTCTGCCTCCCAAAGGGACCCTATGAGGTGGGTAATATCCCAACCCCATGTCATAGATGAAAAACCGAGGCTCTGGGGAGAGAGTTGGGACTGAGCAGAGCTGACATTCACAGCCATGCTCTCCCAATGCTGAACAGCTTCACCTTTCTGTCTCTGCCCTTATCACTGTCACCCCTGCCATAAGCAGGAAGTCCTCACCCTTGCCCCAATAAGCTGCCCTCTCCTGCCTTGCTGTGATGCCGATGGCCTGGAGAAAGTTGTCAGTGGCCTCCCAGCTGTGAGCCAAAGTATTTGGGAAAGGTAGAGGGGACTGCCACTAGTCAGGCCAATGACTTACCATCAATAGCTTGGGGTGGGGGTTGGGTTTTTCAGGCTGGTTCCTAATAGTGCAGTTGGGACATGGGTGGCTCTGGACTTCTCTGGGGGAGGGGCCTGGATTATTGGCCACCACCCATGAGGGGTATTTGGACTTCATAGCACTCCCATATATGTCTTGTTCCACCAAGAATAATCTGTCCTCTCACTCAGACTCCAGGCATCCTGGTGCAAAGTAGTCTTGTGTGTGCTTAAAATTAGGAGAACAGCCCTGATGGGTGAGCTTTGGGGAAGGCCTGAGGGGTGTGAAATGGCTGACATGGGCCACAGCAAGAGCTCCACCCTAGTGAGCGGGCCCTTTATCTGCCGAGCCTCAGTTTTTCAATCTGTAGACTGGAAGGATCATGCCTGCCTCATAGGGATGCTGAGACAATTCTAGAAGTCCTCAAGCTCTTTCCCTTAGAGGCCAGAACCCATTGACCTACCAGGATCAGCAAAACCTATCTAGGGCCTCTGGAGAGTCTGACAAGAAAACATTATATAAACCAAAAGATTTCTCCAAATGATGTTTGCTGTTCTTATTCTAATGGAAGAGTGTGGGCCCCACAGAGCTGCAAAATCCCCTCCTCATAGCCTCCCATGGGTGTTCCTCCCTTGGGAAGCTTCCCTTGGAGTTCTCACTGCTGCCTCTCATGTGTGCAGTCTTCAGTATCTCATGAGTCCCTCATGGACAGTCTGTGGGTGTAATGTCACCAAAGCCTCAAGCCCAGCACCAGACTTGCATGTAGCTGATGCCCAGCATCTGTAATGTGCACATGAGTTCCTGTGCAGAGGTCATCATTGCCTGGGTGGAGATGAGACTAGCTTGGCTTGGCTGCCCAGTAGTGTGAATAGGTTCTCTCCTGAGAGCCACACCTGGGTTCTTAGGCAACTGTTCTGAACTGGGCCATCATTCACGAACATGGGCATGCCTAGCCAGAATTTCTAGAGTCCTGTGTGCTGGCACTCTTGGATGGATGGGCCTGGGCCCCACTGATCGGGCCTGAGCAAGATGAGAGAGTGAGAAGCAGTGAACAAACTGCCTACTGGATGAGCCATGTACAGATGTAGCCTTGTGGATGAAGCTAAAAGTCAAATCCCAAATCCCAAAGCTTGAGGTCACCATAGTCACCACTCAAAGCTCATTCATCTCCCTAGGAGCCCTGGGCCAGAGCAGAATGGAAGTTCCCTCCTCTGTCCTGGCAGTGATCCTGAGGGACATTTGCTAACAGCTAGTTGTATGTGACATTGCATGCCTTTCTTGATCACCAGTCATATAGGCCTGGCCTGCCAGAGGCCAGGAGTTGGTAAGTGTCATGTCCTCTCTTCATCTCTGAGCCCATATCACTGCCTCTGATCCAGAGCTACAGGTGGGGATAGGCGGGATGGGCCTCTTCTTATCCCTTCCTTTGACTCTCACACAAACCCCAGGCCTGGAGCCAGCTGCTTCCTCAGACCACTAATAAAATGTATCCCCACATACCCATGGTCCGCACACCTGGCAGGAACCCCACAGGCCCACTGCCGACTGTGGCTGGCAGGGCATGGGTTTCCTATGCCCAGTCACAGAGACTCCACCTGATTCACACTCTTGACCCTTTATTCTTACTGCACCTCATGGTTAACGGCAAAGGGACAAGAGGAGAGAGAGGAGCCCACTGCAGGTGACAGAAGCAGCTTCCATCAAACCCACAAATTCATCTAGTGGCCAGGAATCGCAGCTCAGCAGAGGAACAAGAACCAACAGGACAACCTTGTATGCTGCTTGCTTCAGAAGGGACCTCGTGAAGAGCAGCTGTCCTCACCACAGCTGAAAGTAGGGCTCTGGCAGGCTGCCCAGGTCGACAGATGTCAGACATGTCTACCACACAGGCCATGGGTATCCATCAGGTGCCACCACCAAGCAAAGATCTAAACAGGTAGGAACTCTGTCAGGGCCCATGGCCTCCAAATTCCTTGTAAGATCAGGGTTTGGCAAATGACTCATTTGCTAAAAACATCCTTCAAAATGGTAGGTCGATAACAAAAGTGGACCTGATGGAGATAGGTTCTCCCATGCCACAAGTCAGCCTAAGAGGGATGTCCTTGTGAGAACACCAAAGCACTGCTGACCCTTCCAATGCCGTCCAGTGGGGCTGGAACCTCAGGGCATTGAGTGCATTTATGCTGAAGTCTGAAATCTTCTGCTGACCAGAGAAAACATGACTATGGGTTGGCCTGGGCCCCTCCACCTGCTGTCAAGGAAGGCCTAGGCATCTCACCCCCCACATGCAGCTGGCAAGTTTTGCTGCTGCCTATGAGGCCTCCATCAAACTGGGAGGGACTAGATGCACTTGGGCTTCTGACCTGGGAAGATGACACACAACTTAAGCCATTTATTCAGGACAGCAGGAATAGTTTTGGAAGACAAGGGAAAGTTACATTGCATCTAAACCAGTTTCTCAGGCTGGCAATCCCTAGGCCACAAGGGAAGAAAGCCACAAAAAGGGCAGGAAGAGGGTGACCTTTTTTTGTAGGCAGGAGTTTTTGGGACCTGGATCCAGTGACCCCTTCTCAGGAGGCAAGTCACTTAGGACACTGCCCAAGACCACCAAGCTAGCCCTACGGGACTCTGGAGACTGTGGTCATTTCACAGTGATCTGGGATCAGGGATTTGGGGGACACAGCAAGACTGAAAACCTGCTGACTGCCAAGTTGGCTGAATGTAGTGCTGACATCTGAAGGGATGAAGCAAGCCCAGGGAGGGACCCATGCAGCCCTGGAATCCCAAAGCCACACCTGAACCAGTACATCTAGGTTTCCTGGTTTTCTGAGTTGGGCCTAGGGGTGACAGAAGGTCTTTGAAGATCTATTCTGCTGCCACACAGGACAGCATGCATGCCAGAATCCCCTGGGAGCTTCTACGGAGACCTCAGAGCTATGATTCTCTCAAACCCACATTACAGTACTGGTCTCAACACATACAAGCTGGGTGACACTCCACAGAGAAATGGGAGTCACTCACAGTGATAGTATGACAGGAGCGCTTACAGGATCTTTAGTGCAGACTGCCTCTCCTGGTGCCTGTGCATGACACAGCAATGTACCTTGCCCTGCTGACTTGTGTTGAGACTCCCCTAGAGAAAGTCATGCCAGTACAGGGGTCTGTGTGAGCTGCTGCAGGCACCCATGCTGGGTGTATGCCAGCAGAGACAACCACTCCTGCCACCAGAAGTGGTGTAATCAACACTGTGGGAGACTTACAGCAAGCCACCCGGTTTTTCCTCATGGCCCCTTCTTCCCTCAGCACAAAGGACTATGTACATTCAGGTTCCATAGCCCTGAAATCAGGTGGCATCCAGGAAGGGTAGACAAAGGCATGAAGTCAACAGAGGTCAGAAGACACTTCTGAGGTCAATGGACTCGCAGGCTCAGGGGAGTGAGTCAAAGATAGAGCCTCACAAGTTTTCCCGCCAGGGGACAGCCTTCTTCTTGGGGCTTTCTTTAGGGGGCATGGAACCAGAAACTCGGAGCTAACAGAGAATTCTAAAACACGGCACCCAGAAACAACAGAGTTGCTACTTCCCAGCCCAGCACCTCAGTGTTCAGCACCAGCCACTTATGCATGGCTGAGGAACATAGGAAGGTTGGAGAGGGTGACAAGCCAGTAGGCCAGAGAGCTTGGGGAAATCTGGAAATGTTCTATTTGCTCTGTGGGGCCCACCATGCTCTGTTAGGCCACTACCCACAGATCCAGAAGAGCCTATGAAATCTCAGGACTTCAAAGCCCTAAACAGTAGAGAGACACTGCAGTCACATGACTGTGGAGAGGATGAAGGCAGCACCTCTAACCCATTCTGCACCCAGGGGCATGTCTTGACAGCTTGAACCTAGCCATGGCAGGGGAATTGAGTTGACACTAGACAATACTACACACTGCGAGAGGGGGAGTTCTACTTGTCCAGGCTTTCTGGCCCTCATACACTCAGAAGATCCTACTGTTCCCAAGGGCCTGAGACATGAGGAGCCACAGAAAGTGTCGTACTCTGAAGGAACCATAGGATGCCCAGGCTTCCTGACTGTTGTCCCAAGCCTGGTGCTGAGTGAGGGTGAGGGCTGGGCCATCCAAACAAAATAGGCCAGGCCAGCATCTTAGATTGAAGCATCTCAGGAGAAAGATGCTTCAGGCGGTGACTGCAGGCAGCTCTGGGAGGCCATTCTGCTGGAAACTGACATGTCAAGGTTAGAGAGCTCAGAACACAGTTGAGCTGGGGCACATATGGAGAGTGAAGGGACAGAGGAGGAGGGGTGGCTAGGAGAGAGGACCTGGCTTTGGATGACTAACTGGGTGCAGGAGGTTGAGGGCCCTAAGTATCCCATTGCTCTGTTTTCTACCAGTGTGTGTACAGGGGAAGGGGAGTTAGGAGGTGGGGCTTTCTATGAACCTGGGGTGACTGGCCCTGGCCCACATTCTATACAGGGCCAACAGCCCTCAAAGCACAGGGGATGGGGATGGGGACAATGGGGGCCTGTGGGTAGGGGAGGTAGAGGGGCACATGACCATGACAGAGAAGTTTGTTGTTCACTCAAGTCGGCCACTTAACATGCAAGCAGATG